AGCCGTTAAGCAAAACCTGCGGCCGTTTGTTGGAAGCTGTTCTGGGAAGTTTTCCAAAGGGTGTGATGCTGCAACCGTCATAAATACAGGCCAAGTGCCCAGGTATGATTGATCGAAGGATAGCATTTAGACTTGTACGCCGCTTCACGGTGCTCTACAGCACCCCTCTAAGAGGTTTACAGAGTCAGCCTCTTGCCCCCAACAATCTGGGCCCTCATTTTACCCACCTCGGAAGGACGGAATGCTGAGTCAATATTGAGCCACTCGGTCAGGATCAAACTGCTGGCAGTGGGCAGAGTTAGCCTGCAATACTGCATTCTAACTCCTGGGAGGGAGGGAAGGAAGGAAGGAAAATAGCCATAGCCCTTAGACTTATATACCGCTTCACAGTGCTTTACAGCCCTCTCTAAGCAGTTTACAGAGTCAGCCTCTTGACCCCAACAATCTGGGTCCTCATTATACTGACCTAAGAAGGATGGAAGGCTGAGTAGGCCTTGAGCCAGTCAGGATCAAACTGCTGGCAGCGGGCAGAGTTTGCCTGCAATACCCCGTTCTAACCACGGGGAGGGAGGAAAGGAAGGAAAATAGCCATAGCACTTATATACCACTTCACAGTGCCTTACAGCCCTCTCTAAGCAGTTTAGAGTCAGCCTATTTCCCCCAGCAATCTGAGTCCTCGTTATACTGACCTTGGAAAGACGGAAGGCTGAGTCAACCTTGACCCTGGTGAAATTTGATCTGCCACATTGCAGGCAGCCGGCAGTCAACAGAAGTAGCCTGCCGTACTGCACTCTAACCCCTGCACCACCGAGGCTCCTGCACCGTGGATGCGCCGCCGATGCTGCAACAGCGCCACTTCAAAGGTCATTAAGTGGATGGTCGTAGGTTGAGGATTATCTGTGATCCCCAACCGACCTAAGGGAGAAACTTGCTGGTGAAGGAATGACACCACCCGAACACTGAAGGCTTTTGTGAAGGAAGTGAGGGGTTCGTAGGTCCAGGATGAGGGCCGGATGTGTCATCTTCAGCTTTGCGCTTTGCTGACATCCTGTCATAGATTGTTGGGCGAGGGAGGGAAAGGACATGCAATTGGCATGTAGAGAGTAGAAATGAGATGGGGTTGACGGAAACCAGAGGTGTGAGAACCGGCCTATTCCAGTCTTCAAGGAGGGGAAAAGGATGTGAACTGCACCGGACACCCACACGGTTTCCAAAACACCTACACGGCCCACCATTGGATGGTTCAAGGTGGGTGGGACTGGGAGAAGGGGAAAATCTGTAATATTTTGTGAAGGAACATTAGATCGAGCCTTCCTAGAGAGGAGAGCTGGGGCAGGCCTCCGAGGAAATAGGAAAGGGATAGGAAGGAGGAGAACCACCAGCAACGGCAATACATTTTGAAGGCACGACGTTCTTGACCAGCCTACAAAACTATAAAAAGGGAGGATTTAAAAAATTTATGGAAGAAAAGAGGGTTGTAATTTGGGGTGAAGGCTCCAAATCTAGAGGTACTCGACCTCCAATTAACAATTGCTGGAAATGTCACACGGAGAAGTATTCCTGGGATTGTGTCTGGATGATGGGCTTCCAAGAGGCCCTTCGCTGGTAGATCACAAGTTGTCCAAGTTCTGATCTAGGTGGATCTATATTCCCCTTCTCCTATCCCAAGGCAATGGGTCAACCACTAAGATCCAAAGACGAATCCCAACTGGAGATCGCTGAAGGACTTGACGTTAAATCCACAGGCCGGCAGAAGATAACGTGGTATGGAGGTCTGCCATCCTGGTTATATGGAATTGGCTTGGATTTGCACTTGCTTCTGAATGCTCTCCGAGACCTCTACGTCTATGGTTAATTTGTATGCAAATGTATAAGGGTTCAGTTCGTCTAGAAGACCTCCAAGGTCCCTTCCAACTCTGTTATGGGCAGGGAGGGAAACAAGGGGCTCATCATCTTTGGAAGTAGGTTTTCCTTGTTGTTCCCCAAAAGGCAGCTTGTACAGGCCCCTTCAAACCCTTGTTTGAGATGCTTTGTACCCGTCGGGCAAGATGAGGGTAGCTGGGATAAGGGTCCCTCTTGGGGAAGGGAAATTTTTCAGCCCTTTGCTTCCAAAACGTGGTGACACCAAGTCGGCCAGGAAACGGAGGTTGAACTGCCGGTTGATGCAGTAGACAAGATTTCCAACCACGGCGCACTGGAAACAAGGCGGAAAGGGCACGGGGTGGGTGGCACACTCATACCACAGCTTGGCCCTGGCACTACAGCGATAGACACTGATGCCCATCCTCTGGTTGAGGTCAAAACGGTAGATGAAGCCGTTGACGGTTGCCATCTCGGTTGTCCTGTCCTGACTTCCTCCAGTGAGGCAGACTTTCCAGGTGTCCGTCCGTCCGACGTACCTCAGCAGCATGTATCTCAAGGTGCCACCTGTCACACAGATCTCCCCATCGCAAACGGTGGCAGTGTGGGCCACAGCAAAGGTGTCGTTGGGTAGAGGGGCAGCAAACGTCCAACGATCCAGGCGCGGGTCGTACCGTTCCACTGTGTAGAGGCATTCTCCACCGATGGCATAGAGGCAACCATCCAGGGCCACCAGCTTACAGTGGGGTCTGGCTTGGTTGAGGGGACAGATCTCCTGCCAGATGTCGGTCAAGGGGTTGTAGCAGAAGACACGGTTGGATGGTTTCTGGTACCTTCTGCACCCTTCGCAGCCAGACACCACAAAGAGGTAGTTGAACATGCTGCAGACGGCACAACCCCGGGAGATGGCTTCAACGGGGATGCGGGTTAATGGGTGCCAAGCGTCCTTCTGATCATCGTAGTAAGAGAGTCCACTTGGGTGACAACCAATATCTGCCACAGTCATGTATTTCTTGCCTTGCATCCTCTTCTGTAGGATCAGGTCCCTCTCTGCAGCATTGAGTTGACGGTAGATGGCCTGGGTCTTCAGCACCTGGAGATAGTTGTCACTCATGACCTTGTACACCGCTTCTTGCAGACACTTAAGTTTCTGCTTCTTGGCCATACACAAGACCTGGTAGCAGTTCCCCAGATCTAAGTGCACATCTAGCGAGGAGTCAGAGCTCTGGGGGACGCAGAAAAACTTAGCACCAGCCACAAGCTCCACCAATGGCTCTTCTCTTCCACTGCTCGAGAGATTTTGCATGGATCTCACCAGAGATGAAGTAGAATCCAAGTGAAGAAGAGCTGGAGGTGAGGGGTGGCCACTTGAGGGTCCAATTTCCAGAGAACCAAAACCTTCCATCGGGATCTGTAACTCTGGATTATCTACAATTCTTTGGAAGCTCTCTTTCCGGACGAAGCGATATCTAGCCAACAGAGGTTTTGAGGAGATAGCTTCTTCAACAACAACTCCTTCTCTTTGGTCCTTAGGTTGGGTGTCTTTTGCAGGACTGAGGAGGACATTGGCAGGTCTGTCTGGGACTTTCTCCGAAACAAGCTTGTTGACTTCATCTTTGCTCACAGATGAACGGACTGGTTCTTCACTCCCACATTTCTTGGAAATGTTAAGTATGTTGAGAGTAGAGGGGTTGCAGGGTTGTTGGAGATCCAGGCTGGTACCAAAGGTGGTTTGATTAGTGATGGATTGAGAAGTGGACTGAACATAGTAGTTGTAGACTTTGCCTCTCAGTTGAGCGTCTTCAGCTTTTCCAGAACTTTGCTTCTCTTTGATGAAGTTCTCCTCCACCTCCACCTTGGCCACCGAGGAGAAGGCATAGGCCACGTGAGATTGCACGTGGCTGTGGCCCATGGCCAAGCCCATATCACTGTTGGCATAAAAGGACTGGATCTTCTCTGGGCCAAACCGCCTCTCCATCACACAGAGAGTCCCGGTGTCTTTTCCCAGCGGTTGACTTTCTCCTCTTTGCGAACCGATGTCCCTCTCATCTGTGGGAGGGACATCCTTCTCCACTGACTTAGCACCATGAGAGTCATCTTCAACAGGGTCAACATCCCAGCCGGGGACGTTACAAGGTTCTCTCTCTCGGTTGTGGAGTAGACCAACCGCTCTGGAATGACCTCCTGAACGGTCCAGGCCACCTCCAGCTTTGCTGGTGGAGCTCCGGAGGGTGGAGGAGGTGTCCTCAGCCTTATCTTCCAACCTCCACAATTGCTCCACCCCGGATCCCGGATGGCTCACTCCCCCTGCCTCTCGTTCCTCTCCTGCCTCGGTGCTCCTCGTGTCAGGCAGCTCTCTGCCCGCAAGGATCCAAGCCTGCTCACACTCTTCCGCCACTGCACCACATCTACCCACCTGCGTCGGCTGATGGGTCCCCGGGGGGTACGGCTGCGTCTCCCTGCCTTGCCCTCCTCGGCGCCTCAGGGCCGCTCCCTTGTTTTCCACCGGGCTGCAAAACTGCCACTCGCTTTCGACGGTGTTGGCATCCACAGCGCCGGCTGGGGTGCTGCCAGGGGGCACTCGAGACTTGAAATACCGGTAGGCCAACACTAGCAAGAGCAAGGCCGTGGCGGAGAGAGCCAGCCGGCCAGCCAGAGGTATTTCCGACGGTTGAACCCCACTTCCTTCGACACGATGGGGCATTTCTTTTCCTGCCACGCCGGGCGCTCAGGAATGCGATTAATAATTGCCCAAGGAAGGACTCCCAGCTGTTATCGGGGCCGGCTCCCCCCACTTCCCTGCAAGGTGACTCTCACCTGCCGACTGACAGGAAAAGGAGATGGTTGTCCAGCTGCTCGCTCGGTGTGCCAGGTGTCTGTTTACTATAGGTTTGCATATTTGAGGAAGGTGGGCTGGGCTGGAGGCAGGTAAGACAAACTGGAAAGCAAGAGAGCGAAAAAAGAAGACGTGGAAAAAAAAAGGAACCTCTGCTAAACCCTAAATGTTATTTTTAAGCTTTTGTAAACAAGAGAGGGGGAGGAAATAAAGTAGATTTTAAAAAACAGGTTACTTGAAAGGTATTATTTCCCATGACGGATTCCTGCCAAGAGATCCTGCTGTTAAACCCCAGACTTCCGTGCATACAGGTAATCCTCAACATACGACCACAAGGGAGCTATGTTGCTAAGTAATATGGTTGTTAAGTAAATTTTACCCCATTTAGCAACCTTTCGTGCCATGGTTGTTAAGCAAATCCGGCTTCCCTATTGACTCTGCTTGCCAGACGGTTCCCCCCCACCCCCCCCAAAAAAAGATCGCATGACACAGTTGACTGCAACTGTCATAAGTACATGCCAGTTTCCAAGCGTCTGAATTTTGATCACATAACCTTGGGGAGGCTGCAATGATCTTAAATGCGAGAAGACAGCCAGAAGTCGCCTTTTCAGTGCTGTTTTAACTTCAAACGATCACTAAGTGAACCGCTGCAAGTTGAAGACTACCTATATTTTCTCAGATTTAGAGGAATTTCCTTTTTTTGAGCATCGTCCTTGAAGTGTTGCTAAGGGAAGAATTTAAAGACGGTACCCAAAATGTTCTCCATAATAAATTCCCTATTTTACTTCTGCTTGGAATTCAGCCTGGCTGGTTTGTGTCTTTTGAGCCAAACTCCATTCCTTTATCCCGAAAATGAGACAATGAAAAGGCAGCTAGAAATATATAAACAGGCCCCGGGTTTTTTCTGTTCCTTCTGCCTCGTGGCCAGAATATAACCTGCAACAGAAAATACAGTATGGTGCCGATTCCAGGTTTTTTTTATGACGCACCTTTAAACTTCCCCTTCTGTTCATCTACCTCAGGCCAACTTGTTCTCAACCTTAGCAATGTCCAAAACAGCACCGTGGAAAAACACAACAAAAGCCCCTGACACAATTTCTGCCTGGGGCTGTGTTTGCACAACCCGATCTCAGCTAGCAGGCGGATTTACACAGCACATAAGTAATGGTTAGTTTTAATCTCGGTTAATTGCAATTATAAATAAAATAAATACATACATAAATGAATAAATATCATATCAAATTAAAAAAAATTCAGGGGGTGGGGGAAATAACCCCCCCAGTCTGCAGTTCCATACCCTTTGCCAAGGCAGAAAAAACAGTAGGAACTGGGAGAGGGATTTTGGAGTCTTAATGGGCAACCAGTTAAATAGGAGCCAGCCATGTGCAGCAGCAGCCAAAAAAGCCAACGCAATCTTAAATTGCATTAACAGAGGGATACAATCAAGATCAAGGGAAGTACTAATACTACGCTCTATAAAGCCTTAGTAAGGCCACACCTAGAGTAGTACTGCATCCAGTTTTGGTCACCACACTATAAAAAAGAGGTTGAGACTCAAAAAAGAGTGCAGAGAAGAGCAACCAGGATGATGAGGGGACTGGAGGCTAAAATATATAAGGAGCGGTTGCAGGAACTGGGCCTGGCTAGTCGAGGGAAGAGAAGGACCAGGGGAGACAGGAGAGCATCTTCCAGTATTTGAGGGGCTGCCCCAGAGAGAGGAGGGAGGGGTCAACCTATTTTCCAAGGCACCCAAAGACCAAACAAGGAATTATAATGGATGGAAACTAACCAAGGAGAGATTCAACCTGGAAATAAGGAGAAATTTTCTGACGGTGAGAACAACCAACCAATGGAACAGGAGTTGCCTTCGGAAGTTGTTGAAGCTTCATCACTTGAGACTTTCAAGAAGAGACTGGACTGCCATTTGTCAGAAATGGTGTAGGGTCTCCTGCTTGGGAGAGGGGTTGGACTAGATGACCTATAAGGTCCCTTCCAAGTCTGATTATCTGTTAAGGTTAGAACCAGGTTAAGGTCATGTTGGGAATCCTAATCCGTTTCTTCCCGTTGCTGTGGTTTGATGTCCTTTTGAGAATGATCATGGTTTGTTACCTGTTTGTCTTCGGTTTATGCTTCCGATTAATGAATTCTCTCTTTAGAAACTTGGAAAGATCACACTTTCTCATCCAGTGGTGCGCTGGTGCGCTGGTGAGCGTTATGAAGTGGTCTAAAAAAAAAAAAAAAGAAAAGATTTCCATGTAAATATTGCTCACTCTGCAATGCCAGAGCGGCTTCAAACATGTCGCTTCACCCGAAGCGTGAAATAATTACAGATGTAGATGATGCAATTAACTTCTTCTCTTTTTTTTTTTTTACATTAGTCCAAAGCAGGGCTTAACAGATGCCTCTCGCTCAGTCCAAATGGGAGCTGAGAAAAACGAGATACGGACGTGGATTTTTTTAATGTAAAAATGAGAAAAGATTCCAGAAGAGAAAGGGGGGGCGCGGGTGTGTGGAAATAAAGCTGTCAAGACAAACGCAGAACAAAAAGCATTTTGGGGCTGTTTAGTCTGAATTTTCATCTGGAGGTTTCTCTCTCTCTCTCTCTCTCTCATCTTTCTCTCTCTCTCATTCTCTCATTCTTTCTTTCTTTCTTTCTCTCATCCTTTCTCTCTCTCTTTCTTTCTCTCTCTCTTTCTTTCTCTCTCTCTCATTCTCTCATTCTTTCTTTCTTTCTTTCTCTCATCCTTTCTCTCTCTCTTTCTTTCTCTCTCACTTTCTTTCTCTCTCTCTCATTCTCTCATTCTTTCTCTCTTTCTTTCTCTCATCCTTTCTCTCTCTCTTTCTTTCTCTCTCTCTTTCTTTCTCTCTCTCTCATTCTCTCATTCTTTCTCTCTTTCTTTCTCTCATCCTTTCTCTCTCTCTTTCTTTCTCTCTCTCTTTCTTTCTCTCTCTCTCATTCTCTCATTCTTTCTTTCTTTCTTTCTCTCATCCTTTCTCTCTCTCTTTCTTTCTCTCTCACTTTCTTTCTCTCTCTCTCATTCTCTCATTCTTTCTCTCTTTCTTTCTCTCATCCTTTCTCTCTCTCTTTCTTTCTCTCATTCTTTCTCTCTCTCTTTCTCTCTCTCTCATTCTTTCTCTCTCTCATCCTTTCTCTCTCTTTCTCTCTCTCTCATTCTTTTTCTCTCCCCCATTCTTATTCTTTCTCTCTCTTTCTTTCTCTCTTTCTTACTCTCTCATTCTTTCTCTCATTCTTTTTCTCTCTTTTCTCTCTCTCATTCTGTGTCTCTCTCTTTCTTTCTCTCTCTCCCATTCTCTCTCATTCTTTCTCTCTCGTTCATTCTTTTTCTCTTTCCATTCTCTCTCTTCTCTTTCTCTCACTTTCATTCTTTCTCTCTCTCTTTCTCTCTCTCATTCTTTTTCTCTCCCCCATTCTCTTATTCTTTCTCTCTCTTTCTTTCTCTCTTTCTTACTCTCTCATTCTTTCTCTCATTCTTTCTCTCTCTTTTTTCTCTCTCATTCTGTCTCTCTCTCTCTTTCTCTCTCTCCCATTCTCTCTCTCTCTCTTTCATTCTTTTTCTCTTTCCATTCTCTCTCTTTCTTTTTCTCTCTCTTTCTTTTTCTCTTTCTCTCTCTTTCATTCTCTCTCTCTCTCATTCTCTCTCTTTCATTCTTTCTCTCTCTCTCTTTTTCTTTCTCTCATTCTTTCTCTCTCTCTCTCTCTCTCTCTCTCTCTCCCCCTCCTAAACAAGGAACTTGGAATGAAGAGTGGTATAAAACATGGTTTTAATTCTGTAGGTTGGCATGGAGAGGAGAGGATGGATAGGACTTATTCTGAGAAAAAGAATTCTACCTATATTGTCTCTAGCAGGTAACTGCCAAAATGCCCCATTTTAAAGAATTAATTTGGCGGAAAGGATGTAGAACAGCACTCACCTTTTTTTTTCATTTCATTTTTTAAATTTTTCATTCATTTTTGAGTTTCATTGTCTCTCCCCCCCAAAAAAAATTGTGTTTTTTTTTTCCTGATAGCCAAGGGAAGGTTGCAGTCGTTGACTTACAAAGGTTCATTTAGTGACCGCTCAAAGTTACAACGGCACTGAAAAAAAGCAAGTTATGCCCCCTTTCCCCCCATACTTATGACCCCTGCAGCATCCCTCATGTTCACGTGATCAAAATTTGGGCAACTGACTTGTCTTTATGACGGTTGCAGTGCCCCAGAGTTGCGTGATTCCCCTTTTGCGACCTTACGACAAGCAAGTCAGATTTTGAGACCTTACGACACGCAAGCCAGTGTAGGAATCCCTGCCTAGGCAGAGGGTTGGACTAGATACTAAAAGACTTTACAAGGCCCCTTCCAATTCTGTTATTCTATTCTGTTCTACTTAATGACCGTGTTACTAACTTTACGACTGCAGGGATTCACTTAGCCAGCGTGGCGAGGGATGAAATGGCTCAAAATTCACTTAATGGCGGTGTCAGTTAGCAGTAGAAATTTTGGGCTCTATTGTGGTCAAGGACTACCTAGAACCGAAGGGGAACCAAAATGGTTTGATGCAAGCTTGGAAATGGTTTCTCCAGTCACGTGGCTGCCATGGGTAGGGGATAAGAGGTGGCTATTCAGCAGGTTCTGACCGGTTCTGGAGAACCGGTAGCGGAAATTTTGAGTCGTTCGGAGAACCAGTAAATCCCACCTCTGACTGGCCCCCATCTCTTCTCTGCCTCCCATTGAGTCCCAGTTGATCGGCTGGGTCTTCCTTTGGTTGCCCTGCACAGGAGAACAGAGCTGGAAAGCAGGTTAGTGGGGTGGGGAGGGAAGGGGGATTTTTACAGTATCCTTCCCCTGCAATGCCCACCAAGCCACGCCCACAGAACTGGTAGTAAACTTTTTTGAATCCCGCCACTGGTGGGTGGGTGGGGGCACTCCGGCAGACCTCTTGGTGGACATTAGGGAGAGCTCCTGTTAGCCACCGTGCAGCTCAAGGCACGCATCCAGGCAGGGCAAAACATCAAATATTTTGCCGTAATTTTACCCCTGGTGTAGCAAGTAGAAAAACAGGTTCTTCTAAAACCTCAAGTCAAACATTATACTTCCCGTCTCCAAT